GATGACGGTTTGCAGTACAGAAACAGGAGGGGCAAGAATTCTTATCTGCAAGAAGAGCAAAGATAAAGTGGAAAGGAATGAGGGCAACTCTGTTTTTATCATACAATTCTTTTTGTCTTCGTTAGCTAATCTGACCTGAAGTAACTTAGAGACTAAAGAAAAAAAAGCGCGATAAACTTGCCTTCTTTTTTTTTTCCTCGAGTATGGCAAGAGCAAAAAATTACACTCCAGCTGTGCGAAGCGAAGACGGTTTGTAGTCAAATCACATGCTACATTTGTAAAGATACTTTCGACGTCAATTTTTTTTGATGCTACAACCAGTTCATACGTCCTACTTAAGTTGAAAACTTTCAAGAACGAGGACGGGTTGCTACAACAACGTTTTAAAGACTTGGCCTCACGGTGTTGGGCAAAATTTTTGGTCAAAAGGATGAACATCCTTATAAAAAGTATAACTTTGCAATATTTACTTTTGGTTCCTTGCAGTGCCACAAGATCAGATTATCTAGACAGTCACATAATCACTTTAAAAAATAACGTTTTTTCTACAACACCACTGTTTATCTCTAATTTAACTTCAAAATTAGGAGGCTTATTTCGATGTCACAAGGATTTCTGCGAATACCAGAGAATTATTAATCACATACTATTTCTCCAGACATTTCGGAAAGTACAAAATTCAAAAAGTCAAAAAGATTCTTGTACTTCGTTCGGGCCGGTAACTTCAAAACAGCTTAACAATAAACGTCTAATCGGGAGATCATACTAATCTATCAATTAAAGTAGAAAAAATAGTTCCTTTAGAGTTTGAATACAAACAAAGTCTAAGCGTCCAGTTTCTAGCTTCTCAAGCAGAGCAGCAATTCTTTCATTATTTTAAAACGGTGTTTTTCTAGATTTTCAAGAACAAGGTCTTCGCATTTACATATCAACAGGAAGATGGTGTATTTGCTGTAAGATAAATGTAAGTGAATTAGCTTCCCAAAATAAAATTTTTTTGAATAGAATTATAAAGAAACTTATTCGTTGCTATGGTCCTTAAACTTTATCAGTTTTTAAAATGTTCGCTTCTTTGCTCATATTTACTTAAAATACTGCTCGGTTTACTAGGTAAACTTTAGTCAATCTCTAATTTTCCGCTGCAATACTTTTATTGCCAAATATCCGCCCAGAAGTCTCCCCCAGTATATACAGATCGCTTCATTCCCACCATTACTTTACATACAAACCGTCAATTTTCCAATACTTTTACAAAACTCGCTTTATTTTTAAGGTCTTCAGGGGTAATTTTTAGTGGAACATGCTTTGTTTAGCGTATCCGACTCTCATTTAGACTGACGGCCCCATTATGCTGATTGACTGGAGGAGATGATGCCAATCAAAAACCCACCTTTTTTGTACAATATGTGGATGCCATATACAGTATGTATGACTCACTGACAACGATACTCCTCACTCCTCTGATGCACAGCCGACGCAACCCGTATAGAGTTGCTTGAAGACAATCATATAGAATACACAGAAGGGGCGTAACGTTCGCAAGTTTTCATCTGCATTTGGGAAAAGATAGAACCGGTTAGTTCACCCAACTGCTTGGGCGTCAGTTGGTCCCTTCTGCCTGCGAATGCATTTTGGTGAAGAGAGGGAAAAAGCTGAGGAAAGAGTAGGTTTCCCTCTTTTGAACGCAGGTAAAGAAGAGTAAAGGCAAGTGGAGCTCAAGAAGCTTTCTTCTTTTTTCTCTCCTTTACCTAATCGCACAAAAACTTCAGATACGCTTTAAAATGCTTAGATCTTGAGGTTTCATTTGGCGCAGAAGATTGTGAACTAGCATGTTGTGTAACAGTTGTTGGTTCTATTCCTAGCAAATATCCAGGTTTGTCGCTGGTAAAGCTTCAGCTTTTCCACTTGAGTTTTGCGAATCCCTGAGGCTGGAACTTACCTTCTGCTACTTTTAGAGGTCACTCACTGTCTTCCAGCAATTACGTGATAATTCGGTGTGCGTTCTCTTAAAACTCCAAATGGATTGCTTGAGTAATTTCGGTCATCAGGGCCTTTTTCAGAAGCTCACGCTTCCTTATGAAGAGCTTGAGGCTTTTTTTCAACTTCTTGAGGTTCTTTTTGTTCAGCGAGTTTATTTTTGCGGCAGCGGTATGGCCCTAGCTGCCGATAGGAATGAAGACGGTAGTGTGCAGAGAAGGTATTTTGATGCAAAAAGAGGGTTTGCAGGAAAAAGGTGGGGTTTGAATGGGGACGTTCTTTGAAAGGGGAATTTTAAAGCCAAAAAAAGTTTTTTATTTATCTTACTGTTGGACCCAGGTACGCATGCCAGTAGACGACCAAATTGCACTGGACATGCGCCGGCAAAATGGCAGTACAATAAGCTCTGCCACTATCTTTTCTTATTTCAAACCGTTCCGGGATGTATGCATCTCTTACTTTAACGCGCATTCTGTTAAATTGGGTGGACCTGGTTAAGTTGTCGAGATTGATGAGACGGTTTGGGTCCGCAGAAAAAATAATAAAGGGAGGTTTTTTTGACACCAGTAATGTTTTAGAGAGATCGAGAGGGTAAACAACACGTGCTTTATTATTGCAACTGAGCACGGGAATGCTGCTACCCTTGTGCCACTTGTCCGGCAGTATATCCTCCCGGGTATTACTCTTATTTCGGATAAGTGGCATCTTATAACGGCATTCAAGACCTGCCTAAAGGGTATCAGCATCTTACGGTAAACCACAGGTTGTACTTCACTGACCCTCTCAGTAGTGCCTGCATAAACGCCATTGAGTCGCTTTGGCAAAAATTTAAAGAGGGGCGTAAGGAGCGGTATGGAACCTTACGGACCGCTTTGGACAGCTATCCTGCACAGTTCATGTGGAAGAAGCTGTTTAAGAAGGACCCTTTTTACCATCTGTGGTCAAAATTTCTAAATTTCATCCTGCCTCAGCTCTTCCTTAGGAACTGTTGGTTCTGAGAGAGCTTTTGGATTGCCAAAACACTTCTGAGTGCAGTCAAATTTTTGGAGATTCCTTCTGACAAAGAACACTACCGCAAAACTTGAGCCGCTTTTGTGCCTTCAAAACACACATCGAAACAGCAGCTCTTGGTGAGCCGAAGATTGACTAAATGAACCAATTTGGTCCAGCAGCACCTCAAATGCTCCAACCTCCCTGCGGCTTAAAGCCACGCATCTTCATAACTCCAGTCAAATTATTTATGCATCACATTCTCTACTGGTTTAACGGTGTACAGCAGCCTACATGCATTCTTCCTGTTTCTTCTCGAAAAGCTGTTGTCATGTTTTGCGTCACTGTAGCTTCCCGCTCAAGCCCGTCGACGCTTGAACGGTCATATTTATAAAAGAAACCGCTTAGCTGGTCCGGTTTTGTTATGCTGCATGTCGACAGATAGAGCAGTTGCATGTTGCTCGACTACTGCTAGCTTATTATGCAAAGTGCTACTTGTTAGCGCCTTGCTTGGGTTGGTGGTTTCTAAAGAAACCCTGCGCACCGGGGCGGAGAAAAAAATGGAGCCACCATTTTAAATGAGCTCCTCATATCATACCAGACACTTGGAGCTTTAGTTCGGGAATTTTTCATTTCTTAGTTTGACTCATGTTCTAGTTCCACGCAACTTGCTCGCTGTATTGCAATTCTTCTGTGAAGAATAATTAAACTATAGAAGTAGAATTTTACTTTTTACAGACTTAGCCCAGAACTGAACTTCAAAAAAAATAAGAGATTTAGAAGATAACTGGATATATTCAGTTTTCAGATATATTAGAAGTACTGATTTCATAGTGAGCTGTGATCAATAGTACGTCGCACTAAACTTGCTGAAGAATACCCCCTTTCATTTTCTTTTGCTTCCGATAACGGAAACTGTTGTTATATCAGCAATAACCTCGCGCACTCCACACTGCTCACTATAATATCTTTCTTAAATCGCCGTCACGCCCCCAATCCTCCTCGCCCTTCCTCCTAGGCGTTACTACTTCAGTCATGATGAGCTACTTCTTACGTTTACTTGTACTCTTTTCAATATTCGCAAATTTAGTGTACATTTTCTTCAAAACTCCACGTAATTTTCACAATTCTCTCAAAAGTTTTCTTTTGCCAAGGCTAATTCTTCTCTGATAGGATACTCAACGACTAATTTTGTTAGGGGAACGCTCTCCCGGAAGTCTTGAATATATCGGCTTCTTTTTATCAACTTTGAGAAAAGTGGTCGGCTACAAATTGATTAAGGTTCTAAACAAGTTTCGTTGTCGTTACTTGCTGCTTTATTGGTTCCGCGTTCAGTACCCAGCATAGGAAAAATCTCTCTGTTTGGAAACTAAACTTTATCTTCTTTCATCGTTGTTAGTAAAAGAGGAGTGAAAAAAAAAA